AAGTAGCTAGGATTACTGTTGTGAACCACCAGTGCCCAACTAGATCCATATATTTGATAGGCTTAAAAAGACTTGCTTATTAATTAATTAATTAAACTAAGGTTGATATTTATTACATGCTATTAGATGGTACTTGTTCAATATATGTTCTGTCTCTGTGTGTGTGTGTGTCTCTCTCTCTCTCTCTTCATTATCCAGTAACTAGTGAGACTAATACATGTTCCTTGCCTACATTACTCAGCCTGCATTTGAACACAGGCAGTTGCATGGAGCAAGCGTGCTCCTAACTGCTTCCCACTCTTATCATAGGGCTGGACAGCTCTTCAGCACAGCTGAACAATACCAGGCCTCTAGATGGTGTAGGTCTTGGCTCTCAGCCTTCTCAATCCAGCTTCCATCTTCCAGCTTGATGACTGATAGCTAGGATTGAGTCTGTAGTAATTCATTTCCTTTGATGCCGGTTTTTACTGTAGATAAGGATCAAGTGTGTTTTATCCCCTTTACAACCTGGGAAACATACGAGAGAGGTCTTCATGGTTGTGTGGACAGGCTGGGTGTCAGCATTGTCGTACCTACTCTCACTGTCTTGCTTGCTGTCACCCCTGTGTCAGGCGAGTACTTACTGAGGGAGGGCACACAGGAGAAAAGCCATGTGGCCAATGGCAGGATGAATGCAGTTCTGCTAGGCAAAGGATGAGTAAACAGTTTCTTTTGAGTCAGAATTTTCTGCAGATGGCACATATGGTATTTCTGGTTGCCCCATTGAAGTAAATATTTGGAACAAAACTGGGACATATTGTTCCTCAGACTTTCTTAAGCTTTTATTTTAGATTAGTAGCAAGGATACATGTTTATGATATCCACACAGAATTTTGAAACAAACCCTGGAGACTTTAGATAGGCCAAATGTGAGAAAGAGAGCCTGATCATTGATGGTGGTTGCTGTTTGCTGACTCTTCTCCTTATCCTATGGCTTTGCTACAGTGAAACTCTGCTTGTACTCCACCTGGGAGGAGACATGGGTATAAATGTATCCTTAGGAATCTCCCAGTTATTGGAAAAGCAGGTTTTTTCCCCCCTATATGTACTGCTTGTGAATTCAAATGGCTTGTTAAGTAATTTCACTGGTAAAACATCAACAGGAGAGTAATTGGGCTCTTGAGTGAACTTCTAGGTTTATTGACATTCATGACAGTGTTATTACAGGCTAGGGTGCTAACTAATATCACTGTCCTCTGATTTCTGATGATCCTTCAGCTTGGCTTAGAATTTAAAGTGTGTATGCATTCCCGTATAGTCTTGGTATCTGATCACATGATTGCTGGTCAAAGTTAGATTATGGGCTTCATTTCCCCTCCTCTCTCTTCATTTCCTTCCCTTTCTTTGCACTAATTGGGATTGAACATAGGATCTTGTTCATGCTGTACCGCTGAGCCACACTCAGGTCTTTAGTGTTGTAGAAAGGTGCCTGTGGTTCGTGCTAGTAATCCTACCTACTCAGGTTGCTGTGATGTAAGGATTGTGGTTCAAAGTCTGGCAGGATAGTCTGGCTGAAAATGGAGCTGTGGCTCAAGTTGTAGAGTGCTATCCTTGAGCAAAAAGAAGCTCATGGTCAGTACCCAGGCCCAGAGTTCAAGCTCCAGGACCAGCAAGCAAAAACAAATTGAGATCAGGATCTCATTCTGTAGCTCAGGCTGACTTTGATACTTGACCTCTGAATAGCTGATACTACAAATCTGCACCACCATGTCCAGCTTTCACCATCCATTTTGAGCCTATAGAAAATGAAGAGTAATTTGTGGCTGCTATGATTTTGTGCTAAGCAACTTTTTAATATTTCAAAAATCAATGAGGGGCTTTCATTGATCACGTTTTAAGTGATGTAATGACACAGACCTTGACTGTGTAGCTTTTGCATGTTAGGGCTATGCTAAGCATTTTATGTTTGTGATCTAATTTAATCTTCATGATGGCTTTTAAGGGTCAATATTACTATTCCTTTTTTAAAGATTCAGAAATTAATGCTTAATGAAAAAGCTTAAATAACTCACCCAAGGTCACATGGCTAGAATCTAGTGGAGCTGGGGAAATGAAACTTGTTTTGTCTGGTTTCAAAGCTCAAGGAATAACTTGCCATTTCTTGGATTAGAATAAGCTATTCAAACAGTCAAAAATGCATTACAGCAGAGCTAATACTTAGGCAAATTTACTGTTATTAAAAGATTAAGGAAATAGCCTCTTACTTCTCCATACACCCAATGAAAATCTTGAGGCTGAAAGTAATGACTGCTGTAGTTCATTGTGATCAAAATAGATTTTCAGACCATGCACTTCTCAATACCTAGATAAAAGGTTATTTAGAAGCAATCAATGGGTTCCTATCTTCTTGTGTATTTGTTGCAACCTGCCACAACCGTGGACAAGGCAGTAATGGAGAGCAGACCGTGGGTGCCAGGTGGCAGCTTCAGATCCCAACGTTCCATTCACCAAGGTTTTTTTTATCGTGTTTTGTATAGGGAAGTATGTGTAGAAAGTAAGGTATAAGCATCAACACGTGGCAATAGTTTATATAGAAGCGGTAGAAGACTTTCTCATCTTGGGAACTAGAGCTTACAATTTACATAAACCTTAGTCTATACCCAGGCTCCCAGGCAGTTTAGGGTCCAAATAGCCCATATCCAGGATAGAAGAAATCTGAATTCCTGCAAACCAGAACTGATTGACCTTTCTCGTGAACCTTCAGCTTTCTGAGAGTATATGTTGGGAAAATGACCTTTCAGACTCCAAGTCCTTTTGGGGCTCCGACATGTATTTTTATTACTTATGAGCATATCAAATCCAGAGGACTTTTACAAACTACTGTAGCATTTCAGGGTACCCAGAATTCTCCACTCAGTCTCTTGGTCATATGTAATGAACAGTTAACATTTTAGGAAGGCTGAGGCTAAAGTTGCCTACTGTACATACCCAGAGAGAGAGTCTGCGTTGCCACATGTTCTCTATGATGAGATGAGCTCTTCCCTGATGTTTTCTTCTTTTATATTTTTGTGCCATTAATAGTGCATGAACACAAGGCGTGGGCACTACCCCTTAACTTGAGCCACATCTCTGTTTCTGACTTTTGGTAATTATTTGGACATAGGAGTCTTACAGATTTTCTTGCCTGGGCTGGCTATGAACCTCGATCCTCAGATCTCAGCTTCCTGCGTGGTTAGGAGTACAAGTGTGAGTCATTGACCCCCAGCATTTTATCAAGATCAGTTAATAGAGACTTCCCTCTGTTTATTTAATCTGTTTATTTAATCTGTTCCCCACATGGATGAACATTTAGCTTTCCCAACCTTTGTCAGTAAACTTACTGCTATAGTGACTAATGGGGACATGTGACATAACCTTAGGGTATGGGTTTATCTGGAGGATGTTTCCAGAGAAGGGCCTGGAAGGACATTTGCACCGTGACAATTCTGCCAGTTTGCCTTCCTGGACTTTGCTACTATTTGCTTCTATCATGTATTTCTCTGTGGCCTTGTAGACAGATTGTACACTCAAACTTTTGAATGTTTGCCAGGCTAATGGTTGAAAGATGGTGCTAAATGTAGTTTGAATCTCTGTCTTATGAGTATAGTTGAACATATTTTTTGTATGGTTTATGGACCATTTATTTCTTTTTCTGTAAACTGTTCATCTTGTGGCCCATTTAATAAAAGTTTTCAGTGTACATTTTCCCTCGTCTTATTACTTGGCTTTATTGGTGATGGGTAGTAGTTTGTTTGCTTCCTTGTGAAAACTTTTACTTTTTACTCTTTGCTGTTGTTGTTGTTTGAAACAGGAACTTGAAGTTGGTACTTGATGCTTTTGCTCATTGGTTAGCTTTCTACCAACTGAGCCTTACTTCCAACCCCAGCTTTTACTTTGTAGGTAGTCAAATTTATTGAGCTTTTCTCTTTTGGCTTTTAGTTTCAAAGTATTAGAATTTTCAGGACTACAAATTTTCTTCCAGTGATGCCTCCTGCCTTTTCAACCAATCCACTAAAGTGGGGAGGGTCTATGCTTTGAGCAGTGCATCTAGGTTTGTTTTTCAAGAGGCTTCTTGATTATTGAAAAATTTATCTCCAACAAGTAGACATGCCATCTTCATAGACGAATTATAATTTGGATTACATGCTAGGATAGAATAATATGTCAGCACTGTACTAACAAATGAGGTAGGTGCAATGCACTAATTCATGCAGGAAACCTTAAGCATTTTATTTAATAAACAATTATTGTGCCAGGTGCCAGTGGCTCACAACTGTAACCCTCGCTCCTCATATCTGAGGATCCCAGTTCAAAGGCAGCCCAGGAAGAAAAGCCCACCAGATTCTTATCTCCAGTTAATCACCAAAAGGCCAGAAGTGGAGCTCAAGTGGTAGAGCCAATAGCGTTGAGCAGGAACAGGGCCCAAGCCCTGGTTTCAAGCCCCAGGACCAGAACAAAAACAAGCACAAAACAATTATTGTATGCCAGGCATTGGCTATGGAATGATGAGTGGGAATGGATCTCTAGAGATTGTCCACAGATGAGGAGTGGAATCTCAGCGTGGTAGAGAAAGGCAGCTGAGAGGCTGAGAAAGCCCGAGAGATACCCTGGAACAGTCCCTACTGAGCTGCGATTGAGTGTTGAGCCGAAGGGTATGAGGCAGAGGGGGAGCATTCTAGGGAAGGAAGCAATGACAGGGTGTCAGGCGGAGGTCTGCGGGCCCATGGGGCAGGGTTGGGTTCAGCTGTTCTTCATGGCTATAGTGAAGAATAGAACATATAATTCAAGATGAAGGGCAGGGACTGTCAATGGCCATTGTGCTTCTTCAGTGAGAGCTTGTGGGATGTGGGCACACTTACACATTTGCCTTCTCCTTTCCAAGCAGGTGGAGGCCAAGACTAAGTTCCCACAGTAGTGTAAGTCAAGCATAGCCATGCTCTGCAGGCCACTTGTTGAGTTTTGACACCTGTTGCTTATTCTAGAGTACTCCAAGCTCCCGGAGCCGAAGTCTCACTTTGCTCCCCCATGGAACACCCAATTCTGCGTCTCCCTGTAGCCAGAGACACTTCAGTGCGGGGGCCCCCGGTGTTGTCACAATCACGCATCACAAGTCGCCTGCAGCTGCTCGAAGAGCCAAGAGTCAGTATTCCGGCCAGCTTCACGAAGTCAGAGAGGTAGGCCTTGCTCTCCTACTGGCCTAAGTGGCTCTTGGTAGTTGGGGACTGTGGCCATGGCCTGGCAAACTCCTCTTTTTTGTGTGTGTATGTGTGTTGGTACTGGGGTTTGAACTCAGGGCTCATACTCTCTCTTTTTTACTCCAGGTTGGTGCTCTACCACTTGGGCCTTATCTCCATTTTGAGCTTTTTGATGGTTAATTGGAGATAAAGAGTCTCAAGGACTTTCCTGTCCAGGCTGGCTTCCAACCTTAGTCCTCAGATCTTAGCCTCCTGAGTAGCTAGGATTACAGGAGTGAGCTACCAGTCCTTGTCGAGGGCCTGTTGTTTGAGGCCATGTCTTTTCACAGCTTGGAGCCTCAGTGTCTGCACATGTAAAATTGGGAGTGAAGCCAGCTTTGCCAGCTTTGCCAGCTTTTCGGGACATTGAGTATTTCCCAAGATAGTGCGCACAGAGCTCTTTAACCGTGCCTTGCAGAATTTATCCGGGTTGTTCTGTGACTTCCTGTGATAGCCTGGGAGGACATCCAGTTGGAGGTTGTGTGTCCTTGCTGTTCATGTCAGCTTTGGAGACAGCCAGTGCTGACTCGGCCATTTTCCCTTCAGCTGACTCCTGTCTGGGTTAGCTTGCTGTGTTCTTACAGTGATGGTGGAGTGCTTGCTGTGTCTCACAGGAGACTGAGGCGAGAAACCCAAGATCTTGTGTCTGCTTCAGTCAGTCCTTTGTTTGTAAATGTGATGAGTCAGGCAATGCCATGGCAGCTGACTGTCTTGGTCTGATTCAGAAAAGAACATTAAAAAAATCTTCTGAATTAAGGGCAGGACATAGCAGCTCATGCCTATAATGCCAGCTGATGGAGAGGCAGAGATCAGGAAGATCTTATTTGACTTAAGGAAATCTCCATCTTTTTTTTTTTTGGTCAGTCATGGGGCTTGAACTCTGGGCCTGGGCACTGTCCCTGAACTCTTAGGCTCAAGGCTAGCACTCTACCTCTTGAGCCACAGTGCCACTTCTGGTTTTCTGGTGGTTTATTGGAGATAAGTCTCATGGTCTTTCTTGCCCAGGCTGGCTTTGAACTTCGATCCTCAGATCTCAGCCTCCTGAGTAGCTAGGATTATAGGTGTGAGCCACTGGAGCCCAATAGAAATGTGCATCTTAATGACAGCTAGGTATGGTAGTGATAACTGTAATTCCAGCTACATAGGAGGTATAGTGGTCCAAGGCTGGCCTCCAGTAAAGAGTATGAGACCCTATCTGAAAAATAGTTCAAGCGAAAAGGGCTAGAGGTGTGGCTCTAATACTGGAGTACCTGCTTAGCAAATGTTGGGTCTTGAGTTCAAATCTAAGTACCACTGAATCAAACAATAAAACCAAAACTTCTGAGTGAAAGCTCTAGATATATACGAAACGTTTTCTTCATAGATTTTATGTAGCTCTAGAGGTGTATAAAATACTTCATAAGTTTTGTGTGAGTATACACATACATACACATACACACACTGATAAGAGATGATTATAGAATCAGGTTTCAGGTAGATCACTCATGTTGAAATAGTCTTAATGTGTAGAAAAAGAAAAGCTTCATATCCCTCCCTCCCTCTCTCCCTCCTTCACTTCCTCCTCCTCTCTTTCCCTTCCTCCTCCTCTCTAGTACAGGGCCTCTAGCTCTCCTTTGGCTTTTCACTTGAGCTACACATGTACTTCTGGTTTTGGTAGTTAATTGGAGATATGATCTCATGGATTTTTCTGCTTGGGATGGCTTTGAACTGAGATCCTCAGATCTCAGCCTCCTGAGTAGCTAGGATTACAGGTATGAGCCATGGGTGCCTGGCACTTTCTTACATTCTGGCTGTGGTTATTGTACATCTGTGTGTCTCACTGTTCCTTTTTGTAGCACTTTTCAGAGGCATTGCTGTGGAAGATAGAGTGGAAAAATTTCAAGTACAGACAAAATAAAACAGTGTCCTGTCCTCAGTGCTGTTCCACTTGCTGGTACCCGCCTCCAGCAGTTATTACTTGCTTTCCTGTTTCTCATTTGCTTTGGTTTCTATCACTGCTCCTCCATTCACAGGAACTGAATGCCTCTGTATATATCCAGTACATTTAAAACAACTTACAGTCTTTTATATATGCCTCATAGGAAATTATTTCTTAAGTTCTTTGGGACTATCACCTTAAACAAAAGGGCAGTTGGAGGTTTAGAGTTTGTTGGGAATTCTTTGTGTTCTATTTAATGAGTTCCATTAGGCTTGTTGTTATAAGTCACAATAGAAGGCCTTGAGAAGGTGCAGTGTTTATGTGTAGTGAGCTGTGGCCATATGAAGTCTCTCAACTTTTGTTTAGTATTCTTTTGTAGCTTCTTTAGCAGCATTTGATTCTACATAATACCCAAATCCTTTCGACCTTAAAAGTGTGTTATTTGTGTGTGTGTGTGTCTGTCTGTCTGTATATATGTGCAAAAATGCTTAATTACATAGGTATGTAGTGTAATTGTGTATTGCAAAAACCCAAACAGTAAAGAATATGTAAATGAATCATAATTCTACTTCCTTACAGGTAACACCTATTAAACTTGCCATGAATTTACTTCTGAATTTTTCTTTCTTATTAGTATAAAAGTGATGTGCAGAGGGATTGCAGTTACATAAGTTAGGTAAAGAGTACATTTGTTTTTAGACACTGTTACCCCTTCCCTTTCTCTCATAGTTTTTCCCTCCAATCCTCACCCACAAGTTGTATAGTTCATTTTCAACATAGTATGTCTAATGTACTTCTGAATTTTTTATGTAAGTATATGTGTAAATGATCTATGCACTATGATCTAAGCTTTTTTTTTTCTGGTTGGTCATGGGGCTTGACCTCAGGGTCTGGGCACTGTCTATGAGCTTTGTTTTGCTCAAAGCTAGCGCTCTACCACCTTGAGCCACAGTTCCACTTCTAGTATTGTGGTGGTTAAATGGAGATGAGTCTCATGAGCGTTTCTGCCTGGGCTAGCTTTGAAACTGTGATCCTCAGATATTAGCCTCCAGAGTAGCTAGGATTATAGGCATGAACTACTGGCACCCAGCTTGATCTAAGCTTTTTAAACAAAATGATTACCTATATACCTTTATTTTTCATCTTTCCCCCCACTCCTTTTTTTCCCTTATATTTTGAGACAGTCTTCATATGTAATCTAAGTTGGTGTGAAACTTGTGAACCTCCCTCCTCATCCTCCCTCCTGGCCTTGCCTTTTTAAATCTTTTTTTCTTTATTGTGTTGTTTTTCTCCTCTAGTTTCTGTGTATGTGAAGAACTCATTGAAATTTCTCATGGAGTTTTTTTTTTTTCTATGGTAAATAAGTAGGTAAAATATCTCTGCAGTTGATTTTGAGTCAGTGTTTGTGCTCCTGAGTGTCAGTATATATCTTCAGACAGTTGCCTTTATGTTGGTGACTTTTTCTTGTTGAAAATTTGTTTTGAGATGATTATTGAGATGAACATACAAATATGAGTTGAGAGAATTTTAGGAAGCCGAGCCACTCAATGACAGGTTGAAATGTTCACTTTTTGGTTGTCATTTCCACTCTGGACTGGGCAGGGGAGTTGTTTTGTGGGAGATGCCATCTTGTGATGTATCTAGATTTACCTGTGCATATCTTATTCGTGAGAGTTCTGTACAAATTATAGATCTTTCTAAGCTCGGTACTGACGGCTTGTGCCTCTAATCCTAGCTACCCAGGAGCCTCAGATCTGAGAATTGAGGCTTGAAATCAACCTAGGCAGGAGAGTTCATGAGACTCTTAACCCAATTAATCAGCAAAAAACTAGAAATGGAGCTGTGGCTGAAGTGGTAGAATGCCAGCCTTGAACAGAAAAAACCATGGAATAGCTTCCAGGCCTCGTGTTCAAGCCCGATGACCAGTGCGCGCGCGTGCGCGCACACACACACACGCACACACACACACACCATATCTGTTTTTAAATTCTCCTCTATTTATAATATAAATAGCCCAACTGTACAGCAAAGATAAACTTAGCATCATTGAAGGAATGGAGGAAATCATCACACATAAGATAGATGAGCCTCTGAATATCAGAAGAATAAGAGAGAAATACCCAGCCAAAGGCAATAGAACAAATACTATATGAATGCTATAGCAAGGGTAAAAAGGATAGGACAACTTGAAAGATGAAGTGGTTATTATCTAAAGCTTAAAAGAATGGAGATGCTGATGGTCAGAACCTGGTGTCCTCACAGGAATAGCTTAGGAGTTGGAAGCTGAGGGGTTGGAGACACTGCATTTTGGGGAATAGACATGTCCCCACCAGCAATTGGAGAAATGAAAAGTAAAGCCACTTTGATGGTGAAGGTATCAACCTATATGTATATGGGGTTCAAAAATGGTGGCTGGGTGGCATGTTGTCTCTTTACTACAGTTTGTTGATGTATAATAAACACAAAGCTGTGTGTCACCATTGACTCGTAAGTTCCTTTCTGGGAACGATATCTGGAGAACACTACCATTGTAGTCAGGGTAGGAAGAAAAAGAAAAAAGCTAATTTAGACCAAGCTACTTTTTTTGGGAGTCCAGTCGTGGGGTCTTACCTCTGGGCCTGGGCGCTGTCCCTCAGCTCTTCAGCTCAAGGCTAGCGCTCTACCACTTGAGCCACAGCGCCACTTCCGGCTTTTTTTTTCTTTTTGCTTATATGGTGCTGAGGAATTGAACCCAGGGCCTCAGGCATGCAAAGCAAGCGCTCTACCACTGAGCCACCTTCACAGCCCCCAAGCTACTTTTTTGGAGGGGTGCTAGTCCTGGAGTTTGAACTCAGAGCTTCTTGCTTGGCATTTCTCCTCTACCCCTTTTTGCTGGTTATTTAGAGATAATAGTCTTGCAGATTTGTCTGGTTCTAAACGGGAATTCTGAGATCTCAGCATTGATTTGGTGACATTGAAACTGATTTATAAATAGAATCTAACACATTTCAAAAATTAATTTGATCTGGGCACTGGTGGTTCA